AAAAGAGAGAGAGAGAGAGAGGGAGAGAGAAGACCGAGAAGAAGAAATAGGGGGAGAGAGAGAAAGCGTCGTGATAGGGGAAGAGAGAGAGATAGGAAGGTGATAAGTCTACCTATAATTATGCATATTAATTACATATTTTAAATTAATTATTTACAAATATTATGATTTTGCAATTAATTTTATAGATCTGGTAATTTTGCAATAAAAAAATGATTTATCTGTAATTTTCTCAACATAAAATATCTAGGCCAAATTATTTATTATTTCCATGGGTCAATATTGTGTGCATGAGCTTTGTTGGGCTAGTATAAGGCAAACCCACTTTTCACTAGATGAAAGTTTGTCGAGCCCAGTCTATGCGTCCACATGTCATCATGACCGAGAAAAACTCTCAAATACGCAGAAAAAGTGAAAAACATTGATTTTGCATCAAAGCACGAGAATGGCTCATAGTACCGAATAAGTCGAAAAATGCATAAGTATAAGAAATCAAACGTGCAAATTTGCAATATTAGACAACTAATGCATGCAAGTTTTTCGACTCATCAAATCACCCCCCACAAAAATGATGATTGCTCTTGAGCATCAACCCAAATTTGTCATCTCATCTTGTAATCACTCTCTCTTTTGCAAATTCAAAATCAGTTTTTAGACACAAATAAAACACAAGATGGGTTGAATCCTCATGTAGCGACATAAACGCCATACATCCTCAACAATCAAACAATAAAGAAGGCAAACGAGAATCAACACTTCTCACAAGATTCGCTCAAACTCTCCAAAGCATATCCAAAGTGTAGGCTAAATATATGAGTCACCGCTCAAGTCAAGACAAAAAAAATCTTTATTTGCATCACCCCCACCAGCTCCAGAATGAGCATGAATCCACAAAATCAAAGGGTTTTTCAATGGTGTAGGCAAAACAACTACCTTAGGCTAATTCAATCGAACCAAAGAAATCATACGAACCTTCACCAAAAGAGCTCAAAAGTCGAAACATAAACAGCCTGATGCCAACTAAGAATGCACATCCAAAAAAAACTTGAACAATATTTATAGTAGATGTTTTTAACTACAAACAAGTTCTGATTAGAACCAATATTTACATCCAATACTCGATAAATGAACTTCATTCATTCATTTATTCCCCATTAAAACTTCAAAGCTCACATCCTTTTATTCCACATACAAAACCCAAGTCAACACTAGCACAAACACAAAGTGCATTGTTGATACATACATTCAACTTTAACCACGCAAATGCTCACAGCACCTCTTTATCCAGCCACCTGATGTAATCAATTATCAGTAGACATCTTGATCATGCCGGCACCCTCATTATCCCAACAACTTAACCATCATTTAGTCAAATACTTTTCACTGTTCACGTAGGTAAAAAAAAATAAAAAAAATCAGTTCTGCTCAGGCTTAAAATATACTATAACAAGTATTTCACAAACGTTACAAATCAACATCATAAATTACACAAGAAATCTCCCAATATTAGTTGATATATATATATACAAGAATAGTTTAAATAAATTTATTTTTATATGGTCTTATATTAGGAATAAAAACTCCTGACATATGGTCTCATATTATTTTTCGAGACATGTAGACTAATGTAATAAATTTGGCGACCATGTATGAAAGCATAACCTCAAAGGAAATATGCATATGTTCCCTTAAAACCGCTTCAATGACTAACTTCTAGAGTGAGGAAGGAAGCACGCCAAAAACACACTTAATACTCAAACAGTATCTCTCATTTGTTTCCCTTCGTCCAACAAAAATAACTTGGTTTCTTTAATTAGAACATTCAAAATAATCACTACCTTTGTACATAATATTGATACAACTTAAAGAAGCCTATATAAGAAATAAAAAAGGGCTGATGATGGTTGCTAACTTATTCCTATGGCTTTTCTGCTTAAGATTCTGTCTTTATAAAATAAACAAACTAAAGGATGTTTGGTTAACTAAACAAGCTATAAGTCAACTAATGGTGCTTACCAAGCACAATCATACTAAAAATATTTGATAAATTAGGTTAAAAGTCAGCTAAACAAAATTCCCAATAGCTCTTTTTAAAAAGTACCTCATGCATGAAGCATCTGAGATAAAATTGAGGGTTTCAAAAACAAAATCTTATGCTGCCAAAAGAGGCTAGTTTGAATACAAAAATCTTATAAGCTAATTAAATAAGTTTATTATGCTTATCATAGACACTCTTAACTAAAACTGTGTTTCCAAACTGTGGCATTAGTATTCCAAATTCCAATGGACATGAAAAAAACATTAAGTTTTAAAGACAAAATACATGAGATACAAGAATGGAAAGTCAAGTTTGTATTTAACACCAGTTACCTCTCCACCCCACAAAGAAACATCCCCGAGAAAAATATCCATGTCGTTAACCTGCCTAAGCGAGTTGGGTCTCTCTTTTGCAACTGAGTGCTCTCTTTCCCAGGTAATAATTCTCACCAATTTCACTCATATATGGTTCCACATATTCCTTACAGAACTTCTTGTCTGCCAATCGGCAAGCATATTCAAGAGAAGGCCACTCTTTAAGCAGGCCCCTACTCTCCAGCTTCCCCAGAACCTCAAACCTCGGCTTGAGCCGCCTCTCGATGCTGAACATGAGCACCCTCGGGTATTCAGCAATCGATGATGTATCATATTTCCCAGTACCAACCACAATCTGTTTCACCCTTCTCATCTTATCTTCGGAAACACAGAAAATCACGGGGCTCTGCCTCAAAGTCCTAATCATTTCATAGTTCGAGAATTCCAGAATTTCCTGAAAAGCCAGCAGTTTGCTTTCCCAACTACCATTGGGCATCGAGCAAATGACCCAGACAGCATAAACGGACATTTTTGAACTCCAGGAAATGCCCATTTTGTCTTTGGTGTCCAAGCATCTGCTAAGAGTTTCTCGATTGTACAGTATGACTCGCGGGTAATAATAGATGAGCTTGGCTACATCCTCTTTTGTCATCCCATGGCTCATCAAGAGTTGGACGTTGGGCAAAGTGTGTGTTTCAAGATCGGTCGTCAGCAGCCGACCAGCTTTTCTCAGAACCCCGGCCACCTTCTCATTCGAACCCAACAAGTCCCTTAACCAGGCCAATGCGGGGATGATTCTTTTATACAGGCTGGTGTGCAGAATCATTGGCTCCTTCGAGACTATGTCGGCAATTTCTTCCGAGGAGAAGCCTAGGTCCTCGAATATCTTGATTTTGGGCTTGATGGTTCCCTCAAGATCGGCGGCGAGCAGTAGGGGCCGGACATTCAAGATTTTCTCCAGCTGGGCTTTCCTGAAGCCCATCTGCACGAAGAAGGCGAGTACTGAACCGTATTTTTCCTGGGGGCCCAAAGGATTCAAAACGGAGGCGGCGCGTGAAGCCACATCATGAGACAAACGGTGCTTGTGCGCCAACAAATAGTAAACCGAAGAAGTAAAGGGTTCGGTTTCACAGGCGGTGGAGAAATCGGAGACGGCGGAGGAACATCGAGTTTTGAAAATCGCCGGAGATAACAAATTCTCCGGTAACAAACGGGTGAGATTTATTCCCACAAGTGTGTGCAGCGCCATCTCAAACTAATCGAACGGAATCAATCGATTGGAAAGGGAAAATTACTCACCTGAGCAAACGATAGATATATACCTTATATAAGGATCAGGGAAGGGCTCTGTGGTGATATGATATCCACTCATATTGGAGACGATATCATCAAGATAGTTAGATTTAGAATTAACTAATGGAAAAATGTTGCGGCCTCGTTACGTAATCATTCTGTCGAAATTTGTAACCGTTAGATTATTGTGTCACAGTCGGTGATAATTGATTTAACGGTTATAAACCCTGATGGAATGATTCTGTAACGAGACCGTAGCATCTCCATTAATAATTAATGAGAAACAAAATTATATTGGATAGTTCATGTTTATTTTTATTTTTTTTTTCAAGGCAAATAACAAACATGCATAAACTCAAATATAAGTACAAAATGGGTGACCAAATGATCACAAGTTCATAATCCAACCTACCTCAACAAGCTTAGATTAGATCTAACTGGGGCCAATAACACACTATTTCATCTTACAAGCCTCTTTGGCTAATCAAACACTAGAAACACACTCAACATAAATGTACAAAAATACACAAGAAACAAGGAGTCCACAAAAGAATACACATCGTATGCAACTACATTACACCTCCAAAGGAAAAGACAATTTGTTGTTTAGCTTCTCCACCAACACAACATTGTGTAAGGAGCAATAGACATAATCAATATTTTTACTTCTCTACCTCAAGCAATGCTCATCTAACTGCAGACCATGCAAACTTGGAATCTCTCCATCAATCCACAAAGAACCTCCCAAATATAGCTGTAAATGAGCCGAGCCGAGCTCGAGCTTAAGGTGTTTGAGCTCGAGCTCGAGCTCTTAACGAGCCGAGCTCGTTAAGTAAACGAGCCAAAAATCAAGCTCGAGCTCGGCTCGTTAAGGCCTCGAGCTCGAGCCTTAACGAGCCGATCTCGAGCTTTAACGAGCCGAATTATAAAAAATTACATAAATTTCACTTTTCGAGCCTTATCGAGCCGAGCCGAGCTCGGCTCGTTAACTAAACGAGCTTTAAATGAGCTCGAGCTCGGCTCGTTAAGGCTTCGAACTGGAGCCGAGCCGAGCCAGACTCGTTTAATTTAACAGCACTACTCTCAAACCAAGAAACCCCTCCTTAGAAGGATGAGCATTGACAGTGACAACATGCCCTACTCTAGCCTCTGCTTCCTCTAAGGATGAATGTCTAGGGATGCTAGATCTTCCTTGAGTCTTCACACCCAACTCAGACGCCTCTACAAATTCCAGTCATTCCCTTTGAGCTCTTTGCACTTACCCATATGACTTGACCCAGTCCTTTTGGAACATCCAAAGGTTTTTTGTCTTCCAAAACGACCATAAAAGGTAGGTTGAAAGACTAGTGCTCTTAGCAATAAAAGGGTCTCTCTTCTCTGTGCAGATTGAGTGCCACCAGTCTAGACGCTCCATTTTGTCGAGGGATCCTGGCCACAAGAACAAAGGTAAGTGTGAATGAAACATGAGGGATCTAATTGTTTCTAGAAGATGTCTATGCTTCCTCTCAACTAACCCATTTTGTTGAGGAGTATAGACACGTGTTTTCTGATGAATAATGCCAAAAGAATGGAAAACTTGTTGACATTCCTGACTCACAAATTCCAACCCACTAGCAGGTGTTGTGGTTTTGATGGTCTTCTGAAATTGATTTTGAATAAGGCTAATGAAGAAAGAAACGGTATAAGGTACTTGAGTGTTGTGTTTAAGAAGATATAACGTGACCCTACTCTAGTCATCAACAATGGTCAAGGCATTCCTTATTCCTTTAATATTGTCATCACTACAAGGCCCCCACAAATCCACATGTATTATATCAAGAAACTGGCAAACTCTTCACTGAAGATGCAAAGAAAGAATCCTTACGTTGTTTGGCTCTAGCACACTTCACATGATTTCAAAACAACAGGATCAGAATCAGTAAATTTAGACTTCAGAATATCCAAATGCTTCAAAGTGCTCAAGGAAGCATGTCCCAATAATATGTGTCAGTTTTCAACAGCACCGTTACAAGGTATAATATTTAGACAAAGGTCTTTTGTATCAAGTATTCAAGTGATAGGTTAGAGGTATTCAAAACATAAAGGTTCCCTATCATCTTTCCTTCTGCCACCATTCCACAACCTTTAACGTCCTGCAACAAGCAAAGAGTTGGAGTAAAAGTACACTATATGTTTGAATCAGAAGCAAGCTAAGAAACAGATAAGAGATAAAACTTGAAGGATGGTATGTATAATACATCTAAGAATAATGTGATCATTTATTTTGACCTTTCCTTTGTTTGTAACTCTTTTAAATGATCCATCAGAAAGGTCAACTGTGATTGGTTTGGCTAAATGAGTGATATCAAACAACAAAGAGTCATTAGTGCACATGTGCTTGCTAGCACCTGTGTCCATAATCCAAGAACCTTTCCCTATATTTCAAACATCGACAACGCAAAGTGGAGATTAGAGTTAGTAACATTACCAGCAAAATTGACACCTTCTGACACGTTGTCCTGATCCATCTTCTGCTTGCCTCCCATATATGTCAATACTCGTGCTAGACTTGCCATATCAATGCCTTTTGAAGTTGGTTTAACATTGTCCACTTGATTGGCATATCCTTTCTCCGCTTTGTCCTTAAACTACAGTCAAGATATCCATGGAGCTTAAAACACTCCTTTTGCTCATGACCATTGTAGCCACAATAATCACAGACCAAATGTGCTCTTTCTTCATTGGACTTCCTACATAAAACCTTTTCTTGTGCCATCTGCTACACCCTGACTTTTTCCTTTGAATGCATTTCCCTTCCCTTTATTTCCAAAATCCTTTTCTTGTTTCACTATCATAGCAGCAGTGTCTGTTGAATTTAGATACAAAGTATGCACTATTGTTTTCCTCTCTTCTTGTAAAACAAGTAAGTGAGCCATGTTTATATTTGGCAGCTGATCCATAAGTAGAATCTGGCTAGTTACAGGTCATAAGTTTCATTTAATCCCATAAGGAACTGCATTAGCTTATTTCGAGAGTCCATCTTAAGCAATTCCTTTGATCCTTTACAGCTACACAAAGGCAATGGTGCTAGAGAAGCATATTCATCCTATAGCCTATTCAATTTTGTGAAATATACAATTACAGAAGAGGTTCTTTGCCTAATGTTTGCTATTTCCTTTTGCAAACTAAACAATAAAGGTGTGTTTGATTCACTAAACCTCTGATTTATAGTCTCCCGTAATTGAAAAGCAAAATTGGCATAAATGAAGTCGTCTATAATCTCAGTCGACATGGAATTTAAAAACCAGGAAGTTACCATGTAGTCGACTTTCTTCCAATTGCTGAAATTTTCTTCATTGTCGATTGGAGCGGCAAGCTTTCAAGTGATGGAATCTAGCTCCTTCTTCGCGCCCAGTGCGGTGAGGACAACTCGCCGATATGAAAAGAAATTGCTTCCATTCAGCTGAACCGAGACAAGGTGCATCCCAAGATGACCGAAACTCTACAACTGCTTCGGATCATTGTGTGATAGCACGATCTGACAAGTCATCTATCTATGCAACCACGACGCCATGAAATCTTAGATCGAAGCTATCAAGGCTCTGGATACCATGTAGAATTTCAAAAGAGGAGAACATATTTTGGGGAAGAATTCCCAACTGATTTTCATTAATTCAATTTAACACGCTTGTGACTTTTGCCTTTTATACAAAAAACTGAAACACGCTTTTAAACTAAAAGACTAACAACTATGCTTAGCCTACTTACTACCAGCAAGCTAGGATAACGAACAAAGAAAATACAAAGACCTCACATGTTTAACACATCACGCATATTCAACAATAGTTTACATACAACACTTGATAAATGAACTTCATTCATTCATTTATTCCTCGTTAACAATTCAACGGTCACATCTTTGTCATTCCACATACAAAACCAAGCCAACACTGGCACAAGCTCAAAGTACATTATTGATATATACATTCAACTTTAACCACGCTAATGCTCACATCACCTCTTTATCCGGCCACCTGATTTAATCAATTATCAGTAGACATCTTGATCATGCCGGCACCCTCATTATCCCAAGCAATTAACCATCATTTAGTCAAATACTTTTCACTGTTCATGTAGGTAAAAAAAAAAAAAAAATCAGTTATGCTCAGGCTTACACTATATTATAACAGGTATTTCACAATCGTTACATATCAACATCATAAACTACCAAAGAGATTCTCCCAAAATTAGTAGATTTACATACAAGGATAATTTAAATTAAATTTTTTTTTATATGGTCTTATATTAGGAATGCAAACCTCTGACTTTTCACCGAATTTTCAATTTATTATGTTACTTTCAGAGACATGTAGACTAATATAAAAAATTTGGCGACCATGTGTGAAAACATAACTTCGAAGAAAATCTGCATACGTTCCTTAAACCCGTTGTGGTGCTTAATTATTCATGAATCGATCGGAGCATAAATCCTCAATAAGCTCTTGAACGCAAACCATGATTTACAACTTCAAATATTCGCGAAACTCTCCGGGTCACTGCAAAATATAAAATTTACATTTAACTTGCACGAATATAGTTCAAATAAGAACCAAGACTTTATGTAACATCTGTGACAACAAACATTATTTTTAATTGTGCATAATATTATGTTTAAATGTGTTTGATGGTATATTTATTTA